AAATAACACACAATAAAAAAAGATTTAATTTTATTTATTTTATTTTTAGCATGGTTTCTTTGAACCCCATACTCTTACCACTAGTGTAGTCACTCCCAAACAGCCACAGCTCCGAAACTAGTCATCAAAACGGTACTTAGAGCCATCACTGTACCTACCGAGAACACTATAAGAGACGCTCTCCCGTGTTTCATTACAGCTCGTTGGACCAAAGTCAACCCAATCAACGAAGCCACGAAACAAACCGCTGACAAGATTAGGGCACCGTAAATGTAATCCATTCCCAGCAGTAAGTACTGCATTGCTGACATGGACGACGAGAATAATACCATGAACGAACATGTTGCTGCTGTCACCTATGAAAATCGTGCGAAATGTCGTTAAGCTTTATTTATTTAAAAAAAATAAAAGAAAAAAAAACTTACTTCGGGTTGCATTCCGATTTGGATAAGAAGTGGACTTATAAGCATGCCACCTCCAATTCCAAATACTCCACCAAGAATGCCAGCTAATAGTGCCATTAAGGGAAAAACGAGCTTCCCATTTAGCCCGTTTCTTGTTTCACATTCTCCATTTTCCTTATATAATAAATAAAATAAAATAAAATTATATAAGAGCACTCCAATGTTCGAAACGAGGAATATTAAGAAAATAATGTTACGCACCTGAGGAGTATTTGAAGCAGTATTCTTACGACTCTTTCTACTGTTTAGAATTACGAAAGTGAATATAATTGCAAGAGGAATTTGAATCGATGAGATTATCCAGTATCCGGTTCCACAACTCTCGATATTTATAATACCCTGCAAATTTTTTTTTAAATTTTAGAAGACAATAAACGCGATAATTTGATGTATAATAATCCTTCATTTGTTTTTGTCTTGAATTATTCCATTGGGATCTTTCTTCTACAGACCCATTTATATCAGCATCTCTCTTTTCGAATTGTTGCCTTTATTTTCTGTTTTTATCGGCTTTTTTTCGAGATTCAGTGGACCTGATTGTTGAGAGCAACACACACCATAGGGACCACTACGGCATTACCCATTTTCTTGAATATGCACATATGAATTATGATGCTTTTTTAATAATAATTATCATCATAAATTAATACTCGATAAATTACTAACCTCGATTAAATAATAGTTTCTCCCAGTCCCGAATCGGTGAAAACGTGTTAAATTATTAACTCGATAATTTAATAATTCGTTAAATTAATAGAATTTCTCTGGTCCCGACTGTATTAATTTATAGAGGTCCCAACTGTATTAATTAGTAGAGGTTTAACTGTATATAAAAAGTGTGCTCTTATAATTATCATTTGTGTTGATTGATTTAAATTAAATCCAATAGAACAAAATATAAGTTAAGAGATGTCTTAATTCACGGCACAATTAGTTTCCACCAACCAACAAAAACAAGTGTGACAATTAAGGACTAACTTTATTGATTAATATAATTAAACATACATAAAACTAAGCTCTATCTATTTCTTGGTATTATCCTCGATAAATTAATACTCAATAAATTAGTAACTTTGCTTAAATTATAAATTTTTCCGGTCCCACCTCGATGAAAACATATTAAATTGTTAGTTCGATTATTAATATTTCATTAAAGTAATAGAATCTTGCTAGTCCCGACTGTAATGTATAATATTCTTTGTATCACGATGCAATAAATAAAACTCACGACACTTTGAAATTAAAGTAAAGCACTTGCAACAGAATTTAGCGGTGGAAATTGGAGGTATCGAAATTTCATTTTTTTCGGAAGTAAAATTTAAATTCAATTCCGGTCCAAAAAACTTGGGAAAATCAGAAATTGGAATCTCAAAAATTGGACTATAAGTTCGAAAAATTTCAGATCATAATCGGCGAACATTGGAAGTTCCAATTTTTTTTGTTCATAAATTAATATATTTATAATAATAATATTCTAAATAAAATGGATTTTTCAAAAATTACAAAAATTAAAATGGGCTTTTGGAAT